ATTTTTAAATAAATACTTGTTATATACTGCCACCAGCATAGTAAGGTTCCTTATGGCATTTATCACTTCCACTGTTTATCTATAACCACTTGTCTTTTTCCATCAGTACAGCTTCTTCTTTATGATCACAAAATAAGTTTACTTCCCACCTCTGTCAAAAAGGGAGCTGGTATAAGTATTTTGCTCTAGTGCTGGTACTAGTGTGGTCACTTGCTATTCTACAGTCACAGCACAGGATTAAAAGGTAAGTATCAAATATGTTGCTGCTTACCTTGTGGGTTTCCTACAAGCAGTGAAACCTAGGTCTGCTGCTGCTTTTTTGTTTTTTAAATGCAATTATTCAAAGACAGGATTATCTGAAAGCACTTCTAAGAAAGGGCTGGAAAGTATTGTTACCAAATGAGAGATTAACATAAGACATAAGGTATTAACTAATGTATCTAGTGTTTTAAGAGGTTATTCCCTAAAATGTAGCAACGGTCAGGCCACTCACAACAAAAACACATAAATCAACCATTTTCCAGTAAAACACTTCAAGCAAACTAAAAGAAAGCAATTTATTGTATTTTCATTGTAAGACTTTATGGTCATCTTCACTATTTTACAAACCACTTTAAAAAATGATCCTTTTACAAGCAAGGATTCTAGAATTCAAAATATATTCTCAAATTAATTTAAAATATACTCTGCAAAAAACTTCATCTGAACAAATTGCCACTAGTTTATACAACCATATTTATCTTAACAGGTAATCTGAATTCTGGTCATAATTTAAATGAAACTCTTGTTTCTTTACTGCAAGAAAGTCTCTAGTTGGGTTAGTATTGATGTCTTTTAATAACTTCTAGGTGCGTTTGCTTCAAATGATTCCTGCTTTCCAGAAGATTGGTTTGAAAAAGTTTGACTATTCCTTTTCTGTCAACTTTAGGACAAAACATAGCTATCAGAGATGACTGATTAAATGAAGAAAAGAAGGATGTCTCATGATTATTCTGGAAGTCTGTTATCCTACACTGCCCTGAATGTGGACATGTAGGGGAAAAAGAAAATGCAGAAAACCACAAGCACAAGTTGAACTTACTATGAAGAAATACAGACTGCTCAATGTGGACATGTAGGGGAAAAAAAATATATAGAAAACCACAAGCACAAGTTGAACTTACTATGAAGAAATATGGACTGTTGAAGTTCAAAAGACTAAGCTGTTTTAGAAAGTAGGAGGTCATAGGAAGCTACAGTAGTGTTGGTTGCATGTTGGTAACCCTTCAGCTGCACTTGGGATACTATGGGTTTTTTACCTATCAAATACTTGGCAAACAAGCTTCCATCCACATCACAGGCATAATTAAGGGTAAAGGCAAAGCTTTCTTAAGGGACAAGCTGGTTTGAAACTTATGCTCTAATTAGAGCTGGCTCAGACAGCAGCAGGCTGAAGTACCCTGGACAAGCTGCCAGCTTTAGCAGCCATACTGCAAAGCTGGCATGAAACAGGAAAAATTAGTAATTTTTTTTTTAATAAGTTCATCTTGACTAGCTGCTTATCGGCCATTCCTCCTGCACCAACAGGTACATGAAGCAACACAGCATCAGCTCCATGTTTGATAAGCAAGTCAAGCAGCTGTGCCATGGCTTGCAGAACCCATGGAAGGAGGCCACCCTGCAAGGCTGATTCTCAGTACGTCCTGCTCCTACAGATGGTATTTTGAGCCCCATGGAAGGAGGCCACCCTGCAAGGCTGACTCTCAGTACGTCCTGCTCCTAAGGATGGTATTTTGAGCATTTAACAATGTAATGCATCCTTACATACATATGTACCACGTATGGCTATGTCTGCATTGAACATCAAACCTCTAGCCTGTGCACCTGCTCTCACTGCTGCAATGAGCATTTAACAATGTAATGCATCCTTACATATGTACCACATACGGCTATGTCTGCATCATCAAGCCTCTAGCATGTGCACCTGCTCTCACTGCTGCAACTGTTCCCTTGTTAAGACACTAAACCCTCATTTGTGCCAACAGCACAGCCCCATTCAGACCAAGCCCTTGTCAAGGGGGGTGTTTTCAGGGGTCAGACTCAGAACACCTTGCTTCCACAGGGCAGAGGAAGCAAACTACATTTCTTCCAGTTTTCCCTGTCTCAGAGAAAACCTGATTAACCAAGTGGTAGCAATAACGGAGAGGTACAAGGATATATGTGGCTGTGACTCATCTTGTGAGCCTGAGAATCCTCAGAGCATCCACTGGACTTTCTGATCAGGAAAGGAGTTGGGGTGCAATTTAATGTTATGGCTGAGTGGGGTTAATGGGTTGCTCATAACAAAAAGAAAGTACTTGCTCCTCCCTCCCTCCACCAACTCTCATCCTAACCACATGATTCCTTCCTCTCAATTCACTGAATTCCAGGAAATAAAAAAATAATAAAATTACCCTGATCACCAGGGTAATTTCCTGCTATTTTACTTTAATCAGATTCCCATATGAACAGATCTGTGTCAGAGCCACCTTGGGGTAAGTGTAAGCACAAAGACAGAGAAAGACAATATAAAAAGAGCAGAACTGGAAGGAGGAACGGGTCCAAAAGACTGATGGGTCTGGCTCAAGCTCTCTCACAGAAGTACAGTTCTAAGTCTGAAACCCAGGTTGACTACAGCATGTTACACTGACTACCTAGTTTTGGGTCCAGTCTTTAGGTGAACTGAAAAGTGGTATGGGAATGTATGCATGTGCAACTACATTCTAATAGGAATAGTCTAAAAAAGGAAATGAAAAGCACCTCTAACTGGTACTTCTAACAGTCTGTCAGACAAAAGCACAGGAATTGCTCATGTGAAGCTATAAATTGCAGCGTCCACAGATCTGAGTTTCATCCACAGGAGCAGAAAGCTGCCAGGGTTAGTTTTCAGATAAAAATGTGTCTCCAGTACAAAGCCAGATCTCAAAACATTAAAATCCCACAGATGCCTTCCCTCTGACTTGATGATCTTTGGAATATGTTCACATAGGAGGTAATTCTGGTTAACTGATTCAGTAGACTCAGGATTCCTTCTGACTCTATAGGCATATAAAATAAAATAAATTTAAAAGAGGACTTTAGTAAGCCCAGTTCCTAGCCTGTAAATAAAGCATGTTTTCAAACAATGAAATCTTGAAAAGTGGAAGCACCACAAAGGAGCTGTAGTTTCAGAACAGTGCATCACCTACTCTGGCTAAAATAACTATCACTGTGCAATAATTAAGCATACAGGAACTCCCACTGAAGTCAGTTCAGCACGTGTGTTGAATCGCAAGACTGGGGTCACCATATATGCCTTTCATAAGAAAAGAAACACCCACCTGCCACCTTAGATTCCAATATGTACATTTACCAAAAGAGCTATTCATGTCATAGGATATAGTTTATTCCACAGGCTTTTAGGAAGAAAATCTTACTCTGTTTCTCAACTGCACAGTAATAAACTAATGCTGCCACTCTATTTTGACAAGAAAAAAAATTAAGGCCCAAGAAGCTAAATCATAAAAACCTAGAACTGAGTGTTCTAAACAGACTGCTCATTGTCAAGCATTTTTGTTACCACTTGCAGTGGAAACTAGATATCATTTTACCAGGTTTTTCTAAAGAAGAGGTGGCAAAAGGGAAAGGAGATGAGAACAGCACTTTTCACAGTGTAACATTGACCTGAAAGAACAAGTAAGAAATACAAGAGGAGGTCAGCATTAACATGAATTCAAATAAGTCCTCCCAAGAAATCTAGCAATCTGAAAAGCTACATGGATATAGAAGCATTTAAAAAACAGAGTAAAAAACCAGTAAGAAATCATCATGGATTTGGGGCAGGAGGTTTGAAGAAACCAATCTTGCGGCAGTATCGGACAATAAGTGGCACGGAAACGATAGTGATGCTGATTCGGACCGGGGCAAACAATTTGTGGATAGCATATGCCAACACAAACGTGCTTGTACCAGCAGCCATTTTAGATTGCAAGGATGATTCACTGAAACCAAGCTTGAAGAGAACCGCAGTCATATCCACACCGCTGGGGAAAAAGAAAACAAGACTTTTCAGTTTATTTTAAGGTTGCATGCTGAAGAATATAAATTAAAATGCCATTGTTTCAGGGAATTTAACATGGTATACTTCCAGCTCTGGAATTTATGTTTAAATCTAGATGTTGTTAAATACTAAAAACAAACAACAGTAACAACTCAAGTTACTTCTGTAGCCACAACACATGCAATATTTTCAGCTGTACATTTTTTTTCTTAAATTGACAAGTTCCCTGTGAAGTCAAATTTACAACTGTAAAGCTGCAGCATTTGCAGGAGAATACTTAGCTCCATGATCAACCTTCTGATAAAAGAATCTATTTCTCTGTTTTTGCATTTAAAAAAAGGTAGAAATTTGTGTTGATGCAATATTTTCAGCTGTACATTTTTTTTCTTAAATTGACATGTTCCCTGTGAAGTCAAATATGTTCTCAGTGCCATTGTTTCAGGGAATTTAACATGGTATACTTCCAGCTCTGGAATTTATGTTTAAATCTAGATGTTGTTAAATACTAAAAAATCCCACAGATGCCTTCCCTCTGACTTGATGATCTTTGGAATATGTTCACATAGGAGGTAATTCTGGTTAACTGATTCAGTAGACTCAGGATTCCTTCTGACACTATAGGCATATAAAAAAAAAAAATAAATTTAAAAGAGGACTTTAGTAAGGCCAGTTCCTAGCCTGTAAATAAAGCATGTTTTCAAACAATGAAATCTTGAAAAGTGGAAGCACCACAAAGGAGCTGTAGTTTCAGAACAGTGCATCACCTACTCTGGCTAAAATAACTATCACTGTGCAATAATTAAGCATACAGGAACTCCCACTGAAGTCAGTTCAGCACGTGTGTTGTATCGCAAGACTGGGGTCACCATATATGCCTTTCATAAGAAAAGAAACACCCACCTGCCACCTTAGATTCCAATATGTACATTTACCAAAAGAGCTATTCATGTCATAGGATATAGTTTATTCCACAGGCTTTTAGGAAGAAAATCTTACTCTGTTTCTCAACTGCACAGTAATAAACTAATGCTGCCACTATTTTGACAAGAAAAAAATTAAGGCCCAAGAAGCTAAATCATAAAAACCTAGAACTGAGTGTTCTAAACAGACTGCTCATTGTCAAGCATTTTTGTTACCACTTGCAGTGGAAACTAGATATCATTTTACCAGGTTTTTCTAAAGAAGAGGTGGCAAAAGGGAAAGGAGATGAGAACAGCACTTTTCACAGTGTAACATTGACCTGAAAGAACAAGTAAGAAATACAAGAGGAGGTCAGCATTAACATGAATTCAAATAAGTCCTCCCAAGAAATCTAGCAATCTGAAAAGCTACATGGATATAGAAGCATTTAAAAAACAGAGTAAAAAACCAGTAAGAAATCATCATGGATTTGGGGCAGGAGGTTTGAAGAAACCAATCTTGCGGCAGTATCGGACAATAAGTGGCACGGAAACGATAGTGATGCTGATTCGGACCGGGGCAAACAATTTGTGGATAGCATATGCCAACACAAACGTGCTTGTACCAGCAGCCATTTTAGATTGCAAGGATGATTCACTGAAACCAAGCTTGAAGAGAACCGCAGTCATATCCACACCGCTGGGGAAAAAGAAAACAAGACTTTTCAGTTTATTTTAAGGTTGCATGCTGAAGAATATAAATTAAAATGCCATTGTTTCAGGGAATTTAACATGGTATACTTCCAGCTCTGGAATTTATGTTTAAATCTAGATGTTGTTAAATACTAAAAACAAACAACAGTAACAACTCAAGTTACTTCTGTAGCCACAACACATGCAATATTTTCAGCTGTACATTTTTTTTCTTAAATTGACAAGTTCCCTGTGAAGTCAAATTTACAACTGTAAAGCTGCAGCATTTGCAGGAGAATACTTAGCTCCATGATCAACCTTCTGATAAAAGAATCTATTTCTTTGCTTTTGAATTTAAAAAAAAGCTAGAAGTTTGTGTTAGAAATTCATCTTCCCAAAATTTACAATAAAGTCTATTCTGCGTCTTAATGAAATTTATCACATAAATACAGATCAACCCAAACCAAATAAGGTACCTGTTGTTAGGCTTAGAGTGTTCTAACAGAGGAATACAAAACTGTTAAAATGGTATCTTAACTAAAATCTAGCAAGTGATGGAAATATTATGGATCTCAAGCATTATCCACCAAATCCATTAATATTTTAATTCTCTATATTCATAAGAGCTTTCATCAAGGTTCTTATGTTTGGAAGTAAATTTCCAAAAGAAGTTGTTACTGTAACTTTTCCCCCTTCACTTGCCAGCATAGTATCTTGTAACTGGGAGTTAAATCATACCTGAAGGAAAATATTTTCATTGTCACCCTGTGCCACCATGTAGTAAGTGACAGGAATCAAGTATTCACATATTCCCACTGAAATCAAGTGTTAAGTGGCAGGGAATGTTTTGAGAAGCAATGTGTTTCTTTGTTTCCTCGGCTGAAATACCTCATGCTCAACAGACATATCTATAGCTGATGCATTCCCACCAGAAGCCACGTAATTTCCAACCTGACTATTATATGGCTATTTGTTATTTTCTTTTTTAATCTAATCCTGTTTCAGTGCCTGTTGCCTTCTGCAGTTTCAACTGCAGAAACTGAGTTCAACACCCAGAAAAATAAACTTATCTCTAAGCTTCAGAACTTTCGTACAGCTCTATCTTTACAGACCATACTAGTGTTTCAGAACAAAAGATATCTTTGCAGAACAAAAATAAACTCTCTCATTTGGCTAGTTACTCTGATGCAGTCTCTACTCTGCTGTTGTCACCTGCCCATCATGAACTTCTGCAAAAAGACCATGTACATCTATGTTCTCTCATGCCTGATCGGAGATTAGGTCTGTTTATGGATCCATCTATACTCAAAATTCAGAAGATTACTCTGTATGGATCAAACAGACATAAAGTACATATTTCCTTCCAGAAATAAGCACAATGGTAAGGTATTTAGGCTAAACCATTACCTAGAGGCTACAAAATACTGCACAAACCTCACCTTGACACTGCCAGGTAGAAGATTCCTAGAGATACTAATGAAATTCCAACATGGAATGAAACCCCTACAGCACCATATTCCTTGAAAACTTGTTTCAGTTGCTGGGATTTGTTGAGTTTCTTCTTTTCATCACTGGGATCCGTGGCAGCCTTTTCAGGGGATACACCTGCATCCTAAAAAGAAAACAATTAAAAGTTTTTATTAGCATTAAGCACAATATCATATTCCAGACAGTTGAACCAATCTGAAATAATGAAATAAGTGGCTTGTGTACAGTGTTGTTCAGAGTGCTTTGGGAAGATAGTAACAAACTTTTGTTCTTTTGCATCATGATCTCAGATGCCTGTGGCAGAGCCCATGCAAGCTCCCTTCTCCCAACTATTCACATGAAAGGGATGCACTGGGCTTGGTGTAAGTTATCACACAATGCAAGTTTCATAATTAAAAAGAGTTATTATACTCCCAGTCTTCCATTTGATCCAAACGTGTGCCAAGGCACACCCACACAGTTGCTTGAGAGATGAGAGTGAGGTGCCAAAGAGATCTTTGCTTACTCCCACTGCTCAGCTTTACGCCGTGAACTCTTGTAACGCAGCTTTTTGTTCAATGGGCAGAGCAGCAGATGGCACTGGAAGCCTACATGACACCACACTGATGCTGGCTTACAAACAACTGACTGGTAGAAGAGGTTCGACATTTCAGTTTCTATAAATCACCCTCTGTAGATCAGCTGAAAAAAAGAAAGAACTGGGGAACTGCTCCTGTTGACAGCAACAAGCAATACTGGTGCCACGATGCAGACAGCAGCAGCACAGACGTGCCAGTGCCGGTGTAAATAGCCCAACTACACTGAAATTGTTTGTCATAGTAAAATTTATTGACAGCTTTTTACCTGGGTAAATTGAAAGTGCAGAACTTCATACTAATATATATATATATATACACTATACTTGCTATAGAAGAAATAATAATTGGAGGAAAAAAATGTTTTCACAAAGACTTAAGGATTTTTCTCTTGTCAGGAAAGATTTGAAGAGTCTTTTCTTGTCAGCTGAATTCAGCAGCAGTCGTAACAATATGACAGCCAGACTGAAGGCCACTGTGGCCCACAGGACAGGAAGAGGTACCAAATGCCTGGCACCACTTGGTTCTACTGAAGATCAGTGTCAAGGCACACAAATGGTAAGAAAAATACTTTTGATTAATCCTTGGACATAGCGAGACTGTACATTAGGATACAAGACAGGCTCCTCTTACAACACTCATGGTAAGATGAGCTCACTTTAATCAGTGATTTTAACCATACCAACCCCACCACCCCCTAGTCTCCCTAAAAAATAACTCTGTTCACTGCTGGATTTCTCTTTCTTAATTGTAATTTGTGTTACTTTGCATTTCATTTTGACAGGAAATGATGCTGATCCACAAATATGTACTCGGGGAATTGTGTAGCTCAACTTACTCGGATTCTTGCATTTTTAAAACTTTTTTTTTTTTTGGCTCGTGAGCCAAAGCAGTATTTCAGTAGAAACTAAAATTGACCGAGAAAGAAGAACATCCAGTAGAAAAAGAAATCCTTTATGACTTAAATCAAGCAGCTTTAATACTAGAAGGCAAATGAGGAAAAAATATTCAAATACATAGTTTTTGAAGCAAGTTCATTAAGCGAAAGAATGGATTAATAGTTAGATAATATAATTACTTGCAGCCACTGGAAGTAATTAGGTTCCACACATGGCTGTGCTACATGGCTGCTATTTCACTGTGCTTCAGAACTCATTCTCTTACTCTTCAGTTTTATTACAGAAAGAGTGTGTAGGGCGGGCTGGGGGCGGGGAGGGAGGAAGGAAGAGAATGCTCTTGTAACTCCCAATCTGTAAAAATTTAAATACCGAGTTATTGAATGGATCTAGATGAATAAACTGAGCAAAACAGTCTCATAATACCTTCTGCCAAAAGCTGTCCTAACAATTCAATCAACATCACATGCCTAGTCAGGAATACTAGCAGTATTCTGCAGTATGATTTTCTTAAAAGCCAATTGTGCTTTGAATGGTATTTTAAGATTTAATAGCTTATAGTGAGTTTTTCATCCAAACAAAGATGATCATTATGTATTTAAGGAGCCTAATATGAAGATTTTCTTCAGATAGCTGCCATGAAAACAGGAGGTGACAGTCTACAGAGGTACATAATTCTCAGTGCACCCCTGAGTCTTACAGCCACACTTGTAAGATGGATCAGACAGACTGAAAAAATAAGGGCTGAAAAATAGCTTGTTCTCATCATCCAAGTACATTTCAATTCACTTATGCTCTCAAGCTCACCCGCCAGGCAATTTCTGAATGGTATTGAAGCAAGATGTTAAAAAAAGTACCACTTCAACAGATATTATTTGGACTACCAAGTACGGTCATGTCCTGAATAACGTACAAATTAACAAAGCAAGCTACCTATTTTCCATTTAATTCTGCCCTAATCTTTCTGCTAGAAAACAACTTTTATTCACATTCTTTAGACAAAGATTCAGCTTCTGGACAAACTGAAAAACATGAAAACAAATCTGAAACATCATATTATGCTTTGTAATGAGGCTGCAGAAATTAACCTGAAAATTAAGCTGTAGAAATTAAACTGTAAAATGAGGCTTTGTATAGAAAGCTCACATTCACAATCTTGACACAAGCAGGTGTAAAGCAGGTCCCTGTCTCCTACAGAAACCCAACATAAACATGACTTAATAATCTACTGCCATGTAGAACCCAGTTATGTGCAGGTCCCTGGTTTGCTTTTCTCCCTGAGTCAATTGAAAATTAAAACCAAAACAAGTGGTAGAAACTCATGCAAATTTTTCCTTCCCATGTCCAAAAAATCAGCTGAATGTAGAAAGCACAATAAAACACATAATTAACTGGGTGCACCTTTGTATTTTATCTCTCATCTAACAAAAAGGCACAGAGTCAGGCCTGGGACCTCTCTCTGCAGGCACCCTGCCAGCGTGCCACCCACTGCCATTTGCAGTGGCTGAAACCCATGCCACTTTCAGAAAACCCTTTCAGCCACAGCCACCTGGAACACCCAGGCTTCTCTGTGTCTGCATGAATTACTGAAACCCCCTTTTGTTTTTATCCTTCATGATTTACCTGAAGTCCTCACACTCTGGAGCCCTCAGGGAAACACACACAGCCCATCACCACCACTGGGGCAGTGCAGGCCAGTTGAACCCCTCATCTTGAAAACACCCCCAAGAACTGGAAAATGCTCACAAGCCAGGACAACTTGTGCTTTAATCAAAGCTATGATCCACTACCCCATCAAGGCACAGAATCACAGAAATGTCTAGGTTGTAAGGGACCATACAGATCATGGAGTCCGACCATCAACCTCCCACTGACAAAACCACCACTAGACCATGTCTCTCAGCACCACATCTACCCACCTTGTAAATACTTCCAGTCATTCCACCACTTCCCTGGGCAGCCTGTCCAAAGTTTCATAACCCTTTGAGTGAAGCAGTTTTTCCTAATATCCAACCTAAGCTTCCCCTGGTGCAACTTGAGGCTATTTCTTCTATTGCTTGAGATCTCTCCCCACTTCACTACAACCTCCTTTCAGGTAGTTGTAGAGAGCAATAAGGTCTCTCCTCAGCCTTCTTTTCTCCAGATTAAACGACCTCAGTTCCCTCAGCTGCTCCTCAAAAGACTTATTCTCCAGATCCCTCACCAGCTTTGTAGCCCTTCTCTGGACCCACTCCAGCACCTCAATGTCTTTTTTGTGGTAAGGGGCCCAAAACTGGGTGAGGCCTTACCAGCGCCGAGTATGCAAAACTGGACACAGTACTCAAGGTGCGGCCTTGCCAGTGCCAAGTATGTGGGGATGATCACTGCCCCAGTCCTGCTGGCCACACTGCTCCTGATACAGGCCAGGATGCTGTCGGCCTTGTTGGCCACCTGGGCACACTGCTGGCTCCTATTCAGCCAGCTGTCGAACAACACCCCCCAGGTCCTTTTCTGCCGGGCAGCTCTCCAGTCATTCTTTCCCAGGCCTGTAGCGCTGCGGGGGGTTGTTGTGACCCAAGTGGCTGAGCCAGCACCTGGCCTCCTTGAACCTCATCCCCTTGGCCTCGGCCCAGCCAGAAAGTCCAGATCCAACCCCCGCAGAGCTTTTCTACCCTCAAGCAGGCCGACACTCCCGCTTCACTTGGTGTCATTTGTAAACTTACCAAGGGTGCAGCTGATTCCCCTCACGCAGATCCTCACAGGGGGCACCCAAATCCTCACAGGGAGCTCCTAGAGCCTCACAGGGGGCACCCAGACACCCCCCCCACCCCCCCCTTACCTTGGCGGAGGTGCCGGCGGCGGCTCTCAGCGTCACGACTGGGGGCAGCGGCGGGCTGAGACCAACCCGGGGGAGGCGGGGACCGTAGCCCAAGGTTCGGGGGAAGGCGGCGAGGAGCGGGGGGCTGCGCGGGATGGCCGGGGGCCGCAGCGGGCCCAGGCGCACCAGGCGGTACATAGCAACGGCGCAGCCCCCAACTCTGCGCGCCGAGCAGGGCGGGCTGGTGGTTATTTGAGGGAGAGCTGAGGGGGCTAGAGCGCCGGGTGCTTTTATTCTGAGGGAAAAAAGTCTCTAAAAGGGTTCCGTTGCCCCTCGGGACGGTGCGAGGCAGCCCCCTGCCTCGTCTCGGCTGGTTAAACCCCCCTCCCAGCGCTGTTCTGGAGGTTGCTGTAAGAGTTTGAGCGCACGGGCGTTTTGGTGCGGCCTTCAGGTAGCTGGCGAAGCGGGGAGAATTGGCTTTTTTTGTTGTTTTTTCAGTCCCCTCGGCGCCTGTAAGCGTGGAGGGGAGGTAATGCCTGTCGTTTTTCAGAGATTACTCCCTCAGTCTGCACTTGAAGTGGTTAAAGTGTCATCACGACTTCAGTTCTGGTGCATGGACTCGCAGAGCTGGCAGTTCATTTAATTACTGACTTTTATCTTGAAGAGCTCTAGTAATTTGTTGAGACTTCATGCTACAAGAGCAGAGTGCAAAGGCAGAGCTTTTCCAGTCCCAAAAGGGGTCCACAGCATCTCTGAGACCAAAAGAAGCTTTCCAACAAACACCATGAATGTCTCCCATTTATAGCCCTCTTCCTAAAGTAAAACCACAACAGGAAAATTGGGAATTAAAAATAGCATTGAAGTATAACATCACTTTGGGAGAATTGTAGATACCTGGAGGGGGAAGGGGGATATTCCTGGCAGGTGAATCCCATTACTCTGGGGAGCTCTATTTCAACCAGTATGGCTTTTTTTGCTGGGAAAGTTCTATTCACATTGGGTAATTTTCAGGATCAGTGCACAACTGTGGTGATTTCCAGACCTTTTGTGATGTTCCAGTCATTCAATGTTAATGTTACTGAGCAGGGTTTAGTATCTGCAAGATGACGGCTGCCCTGCACAATGCCAAGGCTTTTCATAACTGCAGTCGCTGCAGCTTTCGGAAATGGTGGCTCTTTGCCATCACAGACAAGGCTGCTCGCTGCAGGGGAAGGGTAAATATTGCATAACTGTATTAATGTATTGAGACAATGCATCTGAATGCTAAGCTCTGGCCATAAAACACTTCTCTCTTCCTGATTACTAAAGCCTTTCCTCTTCAGGCATGTTGTTGTTTTTACAGTGATGTAAGCACACAGGGCTGAATACAATAGGAGAACTGTGTCAGATAAATAAGAGGTTTTCCGTCCGGAAGAGCTTGCAGTTTTTAGGAGTGCAATCTGGGACTGCACAGAACAGCACTGAATGGTACAATGCTGAAACAGCATGGTGGGTGGCTCTCGTTAAGTGCAGTGCACTACAGAACAGATGGGTTTCAAGGAGTATCTTGGACGAAGAGGAGAGAGCTTTGCATGCATTAAAATAGAGTCTGCTCTGAGCATAACAAGCAGCACTGCCAGTTCTAGGATTTTACACTTTAGTTCTTGCTTCATAAATCTAGTCTCTCTTGGAATGCTTTGTAGAAGAATAGTTTTGCGGAACACAATTTCATGTATTTATTATGTTGACATATTTAATATATTTATTAGTGTGCCAAAGCAATTTGCTAATGTGTTTTCTGTGAATATTTATATATCAGCAACACCTGAGTAGACAGATGATAACATGGCAATGCTCTAACCATAACACACTATGACTTTGTCATTTTTTTCTGACTAAAAAAAATCCCAAGAGTTAATTCTGGTCTCGCTCTGTAAAGGAGATATCAGTCTCCTGGCATGGACCAGCACTGGGCTCTGCACATATATACCGAATCCTTCCCTATGTTTGTCTGGCAGACCCATTAGAGCCATTGCATGGTCGAAAGCACAGAGCAGCTCTCCAGTGGCGTATGTGTTATGCTGCTGCTAGATGTCTAGAAATCCTGGGCAAGTGCAGAAAAGAGCAGGAGGTCAGTTAATGAGGCATAAAAGCATTAGAGTTGGCAGTTTTATATGTATGGTCTGGCTGTCTGCAAAATCTCAGTGGGAGATTTCACTTAGAAGCAGGAAGGAACAATACCATAAACATCAAATGGTCATTGAAAAACAAGCAAACAATTTGGCTTAGGATATCTTAATGTAAAGATAGTTTACAAGTGCAGGGAAAAAGACATTAGTGCCATCCTGCTCACTGTAACTAAGACAGAAATGAGAAGGCAACTTTCAAAGACAGCTCAAGAAGATGCTTCTGCACAGACACACATTTGTGTTATCCTGGGTGTTATCTTAGAAGTCTTCTAAGTTTTATAAATTGCATGAGAGAAAATTCATTACACATTTTTCAAATCATATAATCTACAAATAATTTGGAGATTGTGAATGTGATAGTTCCAAAATATAATGCTTTCTAATGGGCAAGTAGGAATTAGTTCCTGTATGAGAGTGGGTGGCAATTGCTTATGCGTGATGGAAGCTGTGTCATTTAGTATTATTACAAATGTAGCAATGCCATGTACATAAATATAATAAGAGAAGTTGGGAACTGATCATGAACCTCATTCAGAAAAGAAGCTAAGGTAGATTTTTTTATATTGTAGTAAATTAAGGGCATGGCATGGGAACTAGTTTTAAGTGGTCTCATTCTTGAGTACATTGGCTTTTTCACATCATGTTCTAAGGGAGCTTAAATTATGAAAATGAGCTAATGTGGGTAGTTGATAAGATGAACATGAATTAAAATTATATCAGGAAAGGAATATCAAGAAATTTTATTTCCTTGAAATTAAAATCTGTATCCGTGTAAAGTTCAGCACAGTGCCTGTCTGGCATTTGAGGAATCCATATGCAGTTTATAAACATATTTTGTAGGAAACTTCTGTGTCATAAACACTTACAGTTAGATTTCAGGGACATCTTCCTTCTCAAGCAAAAACAATGAAAAAATCTTCTATTCAATGGGAGAACACTGCACTGCTAGGAGAGTTAAATCCTGAGAAATCCAGCCCAGGTATTTTTGTCTGTGAGAAGAATTTAGGTTGAGAAAAATCTCCAAACAGGACAGCAAAGAAGGAATTATTTGCTTTATTTACCTGAAAATCCTTGAAGAATGGGGTTGTGTGACTCTGTTTCATTCCCATGCCCTGGAGATGCATAAGAACTTCCACTGTGGACCTCCAGTTGTCCAAGCAAGTGAAACTATGGCTTCAACCCAAATCCGTCGAAAAGTGAATCTGGCAATTTATGTGATGACCTGTGGGAGCCTCTGCACAAATATGAATTTCACCTACTAAGCAGATCTTGCTCTTTGCCCATTGGCCCTATAGTCCTGTTAAGCAAAAAGGGCTGTAAAGTAAAAAGAGAAGAAAATAGAAGTGAAAACATCCAAATTGCTTGTATTTATGTGACCTGCTGATGATTTCGTGTGCCCATCCTTGACATGCACGTAGGTGAGCTGTTGAATAGCGAAGGTGTCTCTCTTTTCTCATGGAAGCATAGTTCTTTCAGGATCTTTGTGCTTTAGTTGATACAACAAGTCAGCAGCATTAATTCTACTCTCCACAAGAGTCCTCTCTGGTAATCTTCTGATGAGACATTTTTTTCATTTGGATGGTGTGATGTGTAGCCATTTGGATGTGTGAGTGAAAATCACATCCAAAGTCTCCAGCTGGGTGTGGGATTGATAGCCCCAGCAAAGCAAGAAGGTTAGTTTTTCACAGAACAGATAAACTACAAGGAGCAGCAGCAGAAGCAGCTTCCTGACACCCACTAATGTGTTTCACCCTAACGTGGAGGTAACTCAGTCTCCACGTCCAAACAGCTCTTGGCCTTTTTGCCCTCTCTCTGTGTAATAAAGCTGCCAGTGAACACACATACAACTTTCTTCATGGAAGTCACTGGCTGTTCTCCGTTGTGTAACTGTTGACCTGGGTTACACCTGAAGCAGCAATAATTGCTGTACCCACTGCTAGTTCCATGAGTTGTGTTATGATGTACCCAGTCACAGTTTGGAAGAAAGGCTTTAAGTCACCTTCTTTGGTACCCAGCAAAGTTTCCATTCTTCATGCCTGTAAAGAAGTTACCACCTTCTACCCTTAGACTGATATTTATTTTGCACTGAAGTGTAAACAATTCATTCAGGTTCCTGAGGTTTGGCATTTGGATAAGATTTCAGCTGGCTATTTAATTTATCATTCAGTGCAACCCACTCGGAGGAGAGGTGTCTGCTTTAGACCCCTACCTCTGGAAAAACAGCCATCAAACTTCTGAAACAGATGAGGTCAGCTAGCCCAGCGAAGGTGCAGTGTCTTGTGCTGATGAGTATAACACAGAAAGGGATGCCAAATTATGCTGTTTAGTGAGGCAGGTTTTGTTTTTTTTTTTAATGTCTGCTGCTATTAAAATGGGTAAAGTGGTGTTTTGTGAATTGAAGAATTGTGGGGCCAAATTTGGAAGCTGAATGTTTAAAGTGCTTTGCGTCCTCAAGCTGTTTTACACCTCTTCCAGTTCCCACGGACATTCAAACCTGCACAGCCTCCTTTAGATTTATTTTTTTGATTTGTCTCACTAATGTACCGGTCACAATTTAGCTTCATGAGAACTTGCAAAAAATTGCGCAAGAGATGTGTTTTGTGTTTGTTTTTCTAAATGTTCAGCAATTTCAAATTGTTCTCACAAATAAAAAAGCCAGTTGTCCTCTTTCCCTTCAGGCTTAAAAGCTATGTAAATAGTTGATAACATTTTGTTGTAGCAGCCCATGACTCAGATTCTCAAGTGCAGATTTGCCTGCCCTTTGCTCCTTACCAATATTGCTATAAAGCAAATTGTCAGCGTATTTAGACGAAACAAGTAACAGTCAAGGCCAGATTCCCTCTTTTCTACCTCTCAGCTCATAATGCCATAATGAGATTCTGGCCAAACAACTCAGTGCAGTGCAATATTCAATCTGCAGTGTACTCTCAGAAAAGGCTGATGTGAATTACTAAACACGGTCATTAGCCCCTAATTTGTATGAGGTTGCTGGAAATTGTTCCCATATCTTTCCGCTGGTTATTCTGCTGCACTGGGACACATCCTCTCAAAGCAGTGACGCAGCCAG